GCTCTTCTTACCTATCTGGTTGTTCAGTGACTTTGCTGGCACAGATTTCTGCCGACAGCAAGGAGGACGTGGGATGAAGAAGCGAACACGTAGCAAGCACCCAATGCCCAGTTTTTTCAGAAGCTCTGCCAGAGAGGCAGAACGACAAGTGCCTCCCTCGAGGCGACACACGCAAACTGCAGAACACACGCGTCCCACAGGTTGTTCTTCACCCGCATGCAGACCTCCTGCACGAGGCATTTTAACACTTAGGGACCAGTGCTGTCTTTTCTTGCGATCTGTCAGGGAGATCCCTCATTCAGCGCACCTTTGGCAATAAACCACACCACAGATAACGACACAGCAAGGGGAGGAACACTGACAACAAAGCACACAGAAGCCAGTGAAGTTACATGACAAGAAGGATACCGTAGTACGAACGTAGGTGTGTGAATCATGAAGCAACAACGCTCCACTTGAAAGCGAGTATTCAAAAAAAACTCCTCCAGAGGGCATTCAGAGCAGCAGCTAAACCAGAGCTCTTGCTCCAACGGCTCCGACAAAGTTTCTCTTTCTTCCTTTCCGAAATAAAATGCAGCTGAAACAGAGGAAGACCAGCCTGGGGAGCCTCTGTGATTACCCACCTTAGGCTTACTCTGGCATTTGCACGTCTCGGTGCACAATTGCTTTATTGTTTTCCTCCCCTCTACAGACTGCGCTGAAAACATTGATGCAGCACAGCATTAGTGTCTCCAGGGCAAAACAGGTACAACGTGTATCATATTTCTCCACCCTCCCCCAAAATCTTTCAAAAATAAATAATGCGTCATAGCCAGAATAAGAAGATTGAAAATTTTTATTTGTACTTAGCACATACAGGAAAGATCAAAACAAATATTAAAAGATAGCATTTGTAAACAAATATATTTCACAAAAAGTTACAGGCTATCAAATTTGCTCTGAAAAAATTCATGGTTATAGCTGTTTATAAATGTGTATTTATCAAAATCAAGTTAAAAACTACTTAATTTTTAAAATACCCCAAACGAAGATTCATTCATTCCAACAACTTCAGAGACCACAGATGTAAGGCCTAATTAAAACAAATGCATGAGTGAAGATGGCACTACGATTTCCAGTTTTTAAAAAAAAATAAATCGGCAAGTGATCAAAGTATCAGCCCAGCCTGTTTAAAAGACCTGGGTTGGTAAAATACACATTCAACTTTGCAAATGTCTAACTTAAAAAAATAGAGCTGTTTCACTGGATTGTCCTCATCTTGTAGCGTACCCATCATGCGCTGCGGTTTTGAATCCACTCTGAGGAAAGTTATCAGTAGGTAGTTTTATGCGATTGTACAGTTCACTTCCATAATCACATTAAAAATAAGAAGACAGCAGCACCCTTTTAGCAAGGATTCATTTTTAACATTCTTGCCTTTATAGCAGCAGGTATGGTTTTGGGGGATGCTATCAATATAATCAGTATGT